ATACGGCCATCCGTTTGAGATATTAATGTATGAGTGATGTTTCGGAGTTTGTAGAGCTCCCATTCAAAGCTTCCGCGGCCTTATTTTATGAAATCCAAATTTTGGTCCAGCATCCTTTTAAACAAGCTTTTTCAAATATTAGCATAATGAACATACAATTGGACAACTTGCTAACTCACAACAGCATCCTCCCGATGATGCCGTACAAAGGTTCTGTCACACGCACCAACCGAGGGGATTGCTGCAAGTCCATCCACCCTCAACTTTTAGTCACCTTTGAGACTGAAGAACTGCTGTATGAGGCCCGTCCAGCCACTGCGCACACAAAGAGAAACACGGGAAATAACACTCAGTGACGAGCAAAGTCTCTGGGCGGAAAGCCCTCCATGACAAATGAGCACTGTTGGGTTACGGCAACGGCGTAATACACAGGTTCTGCTTCTTGGATGCCTTCACCGCTGCGGTGGGTGGTCGTAGCTAGTCGTAGCAGATAGTGTCACGTTTGTTGCTCGTACCAAAACACCAAAGCCGTGTAGTATTCTCGTTGCCGAAATTCATAAGCCTACGTTCCCGGTCTACACACACTACACAAAGCCAGCCACGAGCAAAGCTAGCTAACCCCGTTTCTGCTTCGGCGACAAGCCGCCAGGGCGGTGACATTGCCGCTGAAACTTCTGCCTCGGCTCTTCAAACCAGGGCCCCTCAGTGCACAAGCATGACACTTGCTAGGCTGCTCTGCCTGTACCAAGTGACACGCGCCCGCATGTTCCCTCTCATAATTCTTCTGACTGTACGTGCCCCGTATTGTACACGGCCATACTGTGCACATGGCGAAAGTTCCCTTTTGAAAGTGCTCCACGGTCGGCTTACAATGCTGCGAACACATAGCACATGACCACTATAGGTGATGACACTTGGGACACTTGCCATCCGTCGTTGTGGCGCAAAGTCGCTTTCTCAGTCGTCCTCACAAGGGGCAAGGAAAGGCAGGCACTGCATAAAAAATCAATACATATTATAACACTGGCTGTGGCAAACTAGTTTCAAAGATGATACAGTCATGTCTTCTTAATATGGACACCTCCGTACTATAAAAAGATTTTTTTTCTATAATGTAAGGTGTTTATATGAGAAAATTAAATTTAAAACAAAAATTGGGTAACAAGCATAACCAAAAACAGTTTATTCAGCTAAAAGATAATGAGATGTGAGTTTGCTCTATCGCTTTAGAGCCGTTTAACATGTAGCACTACTGTCGTTTACAAGAACAGATACCCAGGCTGTAAAGTGATGATCGGCTGAATAGCAAAAGATGTTGCACTGTATGCACAAGCCGGATGTAATTGACACTTAGCTGCCGGCAGTTAGGATCCTATAATCTTATGATCGCAGACGGGAATTACATCTGGTGCCTACGGCTGGAATAATGTCTCGCTTCGTAATAGAAAAAGCACGAAAAAAACACAGGATGGAGAAACCGGGTGTCACAAATTCAGGCTTCTCTTCATTTTTTTAAATACTTTTATGATCTTTTTTTTGGACCACTTTAAGTGTTGGTACGGTCAAAAAGGGGGAGTGTGGTGCCACTTTTAATCTCAGTTCGTCCCGTCGTAGTTCCTTTCGAAGTCCCCAACGAATTTGCTCGTTTGCGGAATGGGTTTTTGTTAACGGGCGACGTAGATCATCCCAGGTCACAGTTTGTGGCTTTGACCTCGCGGACGGAGGGGTGCGTATGCTGGCTCGCGTATGGTGCCGATTTGACATGCAGGGACGTTGCCGGGATACAAAGATGTTTACGCTGGCTAGCGCACTTTTTGAAGGCGGCGGCTTTGCTCAGTCTGCCGCCGTATCTATGTATCGGCGATAATTGATGTTTTTGGACTCGTACGGGGGAATGGATGGGCACATATGTTTGGTTGTCTGAAAAATGTAATAGGTTTTGCCATTTGGGTCGTTGCTGTGTGGCTTTGTTTTTCTTGAAAGTTGACTGACCCGAAAGGCGGGGAAACGGGAGGTTGGTCGGTAGACGAGCCTATAAAAGGGGGTTCGGGAACAAAGAAGGTAGTCCAACCCCAGAGCTGGCCGGGTCGCTACTCAACGCGGTTACTCCCTGCAGATGAGTCTTGGAACGTGTAACGTGTAATTTTTGGCTTCTGCCCTGCCCGTCGGACAAGTGTTTGAGTTTGTTGTGCTGAAGCGTGTGTGGCTGTGTGGTGCGCGGTGTCGACCTCATCAAGCCTCTAATTGGACCGCTGGACTTCGAGACGCCGTTCTTCGGCCGACAACTCCAGACTATGGACTGCTCTGGACTCGGCACCTATTGGAAAGCTAAGCCTGGTTTTCTAGGACTTGTCTACTGCATTCTCTGGCTCTGAAGTACGAATTGTTGAATGTTGGGAAGATTTTTACACAGTGCTACTTTCTGTTGCGACTGTTTTGGGGGATTATCCCATGTGTGTAGCGGTAACGTTCGAGCTCCATCTCGGTTTGCTCTCGTTGTTAGTGTCGGGTTTTCGTCACTGTTTTGTTGGCTTATTCCGGTTTTATGAGCGTCGAGTCTTTTTAGTATTAGTTTCTGGCTCGCAGGGCTCCATAGCTTTGAGCTGGAGTGTGGTTTGTGTTGAGTGCTCTATTGCCGTGTACAGCTAAGTTTTTCACTTTATTAAATCTAATCTTTTGTTTGCTTATCCTCCCTGTGTCATCATCTTTCTCTACTGATTATACACCAGGCGTGGACCTAGCGCTAGTCAATGGTCGAACTTAGCTCTCTTGTTCTTTTCCCGTTATTTCGCGTTTATTCTCAGAGTGGATCATTGAATTATTTTTATTAATTTGAACCCCACTCCGTGACACCGAAACAGATGGGAAAGCACCACAACGTATTAAACTCGTCGAACATTAAATGTTCTTGAATTATACCTCACCCATGCTTGCTACGTGATGAAGCCCAAAGGTTAGTTCAATGCCAATCAATATTAAATGTCTTTAGATGGGCACCTGCTGCCCGATCATGGCCTTTATTGCAAAGCACTGTTCACACATTTGCGAGTCCTGCAGTGCCTTGCGGAATGGTGGGCGATACTTGCCGTTCCGCAAGGCACTGCAAGACAGATCAGGCTCAACTTTTGAATGTCGACGTGCTTACGGAATGCTGCAGCAAACCAATCATTCGCCGAGGGAAAAAGAAAGGAAGCTGCATGCCTCCGTGTGCTCATTGCCAGTGTTTTCTGCTCTGCTATGTACCCTGCTTGTGTGCTGTGATTTGCAAGCCAGCGCGGGATATATTTCCTTGATTTGTTTGTCTGTTCAGCTGTGCGAGGTTGTGATTGAAACAACCAAGAAGTATAGACCGCCATTCTTTTCATCAAGCTAAGGCTTCGCTCATCCGAACCGGGGACGATGACTGCTGTTGTTTACACGATTTTCGACAGCTATGTGGAGTGGCTTTGTGTTTAAAATTGCAATCCTAAGTGCAAAAAGAAGTTACCGCAGACTATATTGTTAAAGGTTGATTTCAACTGGCAGGCTCTGGCTACAACCACCTTAATATTCATTCAACATTGTTTGCATTTCTACTTACCCGTGATCGCTTCATTTGCGAAACACGTTAGTGGCCGGTCACCTTACCAATGAAACTAATGTGCTGGTGTCTCCGGCGAAGAATTCCCTCAGGGCTACATGCAATGCACAACCCAGTTTGTAGCCCGTTGTGACTGAAAGCTTTCACACTGGGGAAACGTTGTTGTCACAAACGCAGTCAAAGAATGCGATAGGATTGAGGGAACAGGGGGATTGTCCAAGTTGACTGACTGCATGAGCATATGTTTCTATCGCCACCGTGTTTCCTCCACGCAGGCGACGGAGAAAACGATATAGAGACTCCTCGCGCTTGCCAATGCCAAGTTTCTCTAAAACGTCGAAATACGAGACACCCAGCAGCGAAGTGTCGATATTGCCGGAGAGAGCGGCGGGACAACGATCAGCGCAGGATCGCGGCTTCGCCACTCTTATGCGACGGTGTCTTCGGTGTCCGCTCTCTGCAGCTTCCACCGGGACGCTAGCCGTGCCTAATTGTGCTAGCTTTGAGCACCACAGTTCATAGGGTTCACAGCGCCCGAGCGAAAGCTCGCGCAAAAGAACCGGCGAGCAGTCGAGTTGTTTCCAATCGACGGGGTGTCTAAACGCCGGTTGTGTGAATCGGGCTTAACGCCTGAGCCGGCTTGCTCAAAGCAAATCTAACGTTCTTGAATGGCATGTAATAAAAATCTGAGACGTGCTACATTCTATACAAACTTGATAAAAAAAAAATCAAACACTCACCTTCGGCTGCTACGTCCGCCGTACCGCTTCAAGGCAGAAGCAACATGGCGCTCGACGTTTTGGGGTGTTGGGCTGGGGTGTTTTCAGTGTTGCTTACACGCCTAGTCGTGTAAACCGAAACCGAAACACCAATTTTTACTACCCCAAGTAATTTTTTGACGATTTATCACTAGCAGAGCGTGTAAAAATATGCTAACGAGTGAAAATGGGGTGTAAACAGGCGAAATATTACATTTTCGCTAACAGTGTACTGCTGAGGTGTACAGTATCAAAATACGTGCACTGCACATTACACTCCCGCTCGAGCGCTTGCTTTGATAGGGCTTTCTTACACCGGTGCTATTTTAAACGAGCTCATGACAGCTGCCTCCAAGAGCAACTTTGGACGCCTGCCGCTGGGTGTTTTGTTTATGCGCAGAAGGCCCGATACAGAAGATGGCAGCCATGTATAAAACGTCGTAGCGTTCACACACATCTCCTTAAAATATATATTCAATTTTGCTACCACTGTCCGTGCCACTATAGTGCGGGAAAAGAGCCAATTTATTTTTATTTATTTGAATACCTGAGAACCTCTTTACAGGTACGCAGAAATAAGTCAGTGTGTATTTATGCTGTTCAAAAGGAATGTGCTTCCAACATGTGATATAAAAAGAATCTTGTAAAAAAATTATGCTCACCACGATCCAGTTATCTACGATAAGGCTCTGGCCAGAAATGGTTAACCGCGTTGTGTTGCCAGAGTCACCCAAGTTGCCGAGGTCATACTTGGGCTGGATGGCTAATAGGGTATGAATGCCGTGGCGCATGGTCAGCTTGACCATAAACTCCACGATGCCGGTGACAGGAAAGGAGTCGTTGTAGTAGCGCAGGCCGAGTCTCGACAGGTACTGCCTCGCGTCGTTCATATTCTCCTTTCTGCCCAAGTAGACCTTGTGGCAGAGTTTGTAGGCCGCCATCACTTTGTCCCTGCTTCGATGTTGGTCCAAAGACACGGGCGTCTGCATGATCCAGTTGCGGCCGGTCTCCATGACTATCCTCTCCAGTCGGTCGTAGGCGTCCTCGTCATTTTTCTTGAACACGTCCCAGTTGCCGCACGAGTAGCTGTAGAGATCCTGACATGGGTCTGCGGTTTGTCGTTGCACGCGAAAATCAAGAAAGGTCTCCTGGTTTGTTTTTGGAACACCGGAGCTCGGCGACCGAAGAGCCGCCAGCATCACGGTTGTGGCGAGGACAAGCAAAAGGACGAGTATGAGCGCCAAGAGAGCTCGTTCCCTCCCGGTCTGGGTGACCGGGGATTCTGCAGGAGCTTCTCCCGCCACATCGTCCTACATGGAAGGTTTGCACGAAATGTTATTAGCCAACGTGCAGGCAAGGTAACTTACCTGCCAGCATCATTAGCAACGCTGACAGTCTGACACATGGAGGTAGGAAGGAGGTAACATACCGGCTCGAACAAGCCAAATGAGAAAATCCCAAGTGAAGCCGTAAGTAGAGGTCACGGTCGGTGGAAAAGCCCCCAAGGGTGCTCCAGGGTGTGCCTTTCGTCTAATAGGGTGTTTTAGAATTTTTTCGTTTTTGGTTATCATTGGGGGCGTGTCCCTCCAAACCGAAGTCTCCTCCAGCTTCACCTCTGGTGTCGTCATGTCGCTTTCAGAAGCTTCCTACCTACATGGCATGACATGGACAGGGAGGAATCTCGCTGTCAGCGACGCGCTTCAAAACAACGCAGGACTATGGCGATGTCTCTGTATTTGTGATAGGTACGAGCGTGTGGCTATACAGAGGCACTGCGTGTAATCTCTAAGCATGCCTCCTTCCTTTCTGGTAAACTAGGCTCAAAGTTGAAACGTCCGTTCAGTCATCGTTTCGAAAACCGTTAGCTATGACAGCGTATTTGTTATTGGCAACATGGGCGATAAACGTCTTCGCCCTGGATGGCCTTCCACAATTGAGCAAACGCTTCTATAAGATCTTTAGTATTACACATTCTGCTTTCTTCTGCGCAATTAAGAATGATATATGGCAGATGGCGCCTTCGAACTCCAAATTTCCACTTCCACAGAAACCTTTTAACCTGACGGGTATAGAACCCTAATATGGTCCCACCGAAATATCTTGTTGACAGTATAGTTCTTTCAACTGTTGAAGTCTGCATCATCTCCGCCGATTTAATGAGGAAATTGAGCTTCGGATCTAAGCTTTCACAATCCATCAAAAGTTTAAAAAAACTGTTAACATTGAGAGGTACCTTGACGTTCGGTCCAGCTGGGAAGTACTCGTTGACATCGCTCGTTTCGATATGTTCAGAAAGCATAACGAAGATAACTGTATAACTGCGATGACAGAGGGGTAGGTGCAAATAGAACTGCTCGAGACGGCACATTGGGCATTTCTTCTTCCTCATCGTCAATACACACACCCGCTCAAGGCCCCCGAGATTTTCCGCGCACTGGCTGCGATTATTGGGCCGTTGCATTCGCCGGTAGAGACCTCTACGCTAAGTGGCACTCGCAACCAAACCAAACAGTACAAAATATTGTCCTCGGCCTGCAAAACTTAGGAGCAGCGAAAAAAAAAAAAAAATTAGTATTTTTTTTTTTTTATACCGCAGGAGTTTACTCTGCCAGAACATGGCGACGTTGTTACTCACTATAAATGATCACTGCAGTACGACTGCTAGCCTTGGCTAGCCCGGGTCTTTAACGTGCTCTACGCACGACCGCGCACCGGTACGATGTTCATCCCACTGATCTCCACTAGAGGGCTGGATGGCGCATTGAGCAGACAGGTATGAAGCCACCGGAAGTAAGCCGCCTGTCTCGGAAGTAAGCGCTTAACAGGCTTTCCCACTCTGACGTTCGGTGGTCCAAGCATATTCCAAGGCTCTTGATTTTCTTTTGTTATTTCAAGAGAGAACCTGCTTGTGGCGCAATAACAGCTCATGCAAGCCCGAGAAGTCCTTTTGGAAGCCATTTGAGGTGAGAGAATTTCGAGATTCTAGTCGATTAAATTTAAGTGTACATGCACCACGTTCAATTGCCTAGTTTTCAATAATAAATATTAAAAGGGAGTATTGAAACCCACGCAAAAGTGCAAAGAAAAGTGAACCAAAACGTCAAATGCACTATAAAACCCAGCAGACACTCGACTTCCGAAACAAACATCGAACTTCCGGTGGCTTCACTCGCGCCTGACTCGAAGCTTGGCTACAGTGGCTTGCGCGGCTAAGCGCCATTCAGCCCCCTTGATTCATCCAAATCGAAACGGGCAGGGGTGGTGATTGAACCAAGGATCCTTGGATTCTGCAGCGCCAGCTTTCGCTTCACGTGCTCCGAGCTGGTGTCGGCTGTGCGCTAGCCCACTCGGTCACCGATCGGCGATCCCCCAGCAGCGCGAAATGTGCTCCCCGCCTCTCGTCGTAACTTCGGCAAGGAAGACGATCTAAATTCTAAAGTTCATCTTTGTAAATAGCGGAAGGTGTAGAACAGGGTCGCTGAACTCTTCAAGCACAAAGATTCTTGGTGTTACGATATAGTGGGGGGAGGATCCTAAAGATTGCCGCGAAGTTTTCTATTTTAACAAACCCGTATATTTGTGTAACAAACCCGTATATTTGTGAACTCCCCGCACCTCACGGGCTGCTCCGGGCGGGAGGATCGCCTGCATTCCCTACATGCATAACGTGGCGCACCGCGTCAAGTCTCTCGCGTCCCGCTTTGGCACCAAGGTCATTTTCAAATGCAGGTTCAAACTGGGTTCCATGTGCAAACTGGTTAACAACGCCAGTTCCCCCCCAGCATGTGCAAAAAAACACGGCTCTCAATTCGTTCGATGCGCAAAAGAAAAAGTCTACTCGATTCCTTTGACCTGCGGTGCGGAATATATCGGCCAAACAGGCCGATGCATAAATGATCGCCTCCGAGAACACCACATTGAATGCGCGTCACAGCCAGAGGGGTCATTGCATCCTATTATAGTTCACGGTAAGGAGTGCCAGGCATGCACGCCTTTGTTCAACGAGACCAAAGTAGTTGGGGGACACCGGGAGCGCTATGGGAGGGAGATAATTGAAGCTTATAGGATGACTACCACCAAGAATAACATTGCTTCCCCATCCCTCTCGTTGACAAAACCAGAACTGGTGTTTCTGAGGCCGGCGTTTTCTCGGACTCCAATTGCACAACCTTGAACAACAAGACCCCCCCCCCCCTCGGCCTTCGGCCGTCAATCAGCTTCGTATGCGGAAACGCTATCTTCCCTTCCCTCCCCCCTTTTCTTCCCTCTCAACCTTCTCTCCCTTCTTTTCTCCCTCTTGCTCGTTCCCCCTTTCCCTACCGACGGTTGTTGGTGCAGACTTCGCTGGCGTCAAATATATGTTGTTGTAAACTGAAAGCTTGTACATGTCTGTTTTTGTCCCTCTGTTTGTTTTGTGCTTTCTTACTGTTACTTGTGTATCTTCGTGACGTTTTTCATTGAAGGGGCGAAAAATCCCAACCACTTTCTAGGCGCCGAAAAAGATCAGCACAAAAAAGCGCGCGGAGACGACCGTGGCTCATACGTGTGACTTTACGACAAAGACTATCAGCTGCAACCCACTTGTTTGATAGTCTCTATATAATAATAATAATAATAATAAGATTAATTTTATTGCAAATGAACATAACGTATGTTAAGTCTGACCTGCCTAAGCCACATTGGGCTTGACTGGCAGCGTCTTAAAATCAGTGAAACCATGCCGTTTGCAAAAGGAAACATGTAAAATAAAATCCACACAAAAAATCAGAATAACAAAAGCAAACTAGTGAGCACTTTACGATCTAAAATTTCTCAGGGCTTTCTTGAGCTTGTATTTTGTTCTTAAATTTAGAATACTAGAAGGTAGTTTGTTCATAAATGCTGGTGATGGAGGCTTGGGTAGTTGCATTCTAAAATCAACACCGTCGAAGTTGATAGTCTGATATCGTTCTTATTTCCTTTGATAAAGCAGAATTTATTGAAAAGCATCCTCGCCGTTCCTTTTATTTCTTTCGGCCTTTTGGATTTGATCAAATGTATGTAGCCCGAAGTGGCCAGGTCAGAACCAGCCGGGTAGCATTGTCCACTTTCAGGCGTATTTTGCCTCCGGGAAGTTGTCCCCTTATTGGCGCGATAAAATAATTTCGTGGTAGGCTTTTCAAGACTACTCAAACTGGGATTAATTCTGCGTTCATGAACGGAAATAAGAGTAATATCAGGTTGTCAATATTGACAGCAATGTGTTGAGAACGTGATGATACCAAGCTTCTATCGTACCCAATCAAACATGCCACAGTCGATTCGAGCACGTACCATCGAATTTGCCGTTCACAACTGATATCCTGACCCTGACGTCGAAGGCAGGAACTACTAAAGGACGTCACTGAACGCGCCTGCACACTACGAGTCCTGGCACGAGCCTTTCGCTTGGAATTATGTCGTGGCCGCTCGTGAGTTTATGCAACGTGAACAGCTTTAATTCCAGAACCTCTAGAACCATAGTTCACAGAAAGAATAAAAACACTGAAAATATACGAGGGACAGACACTCACAGTTCTTTAGTGAAAAAACTGTGAGTGTCTGTCCTCCGTACATATTCAGAGTGTTTATTCTTTCTGTGTGAACTGTATCCAACACGCTCTAGTACGTGTATCTCTAGAGCTATTATTTCGAATATTACACGCTGTGCTGTTCCCCGTCGTCCCTCAGTTGGAACGCCTCTAAGGAGGGGCGTTAAAACAGGAGGACGGAAAGGGGTGATTCATATCCCCCCCCCCCCCCCCCCCCACAGCGTCAAAAGAGGGGGGCAAGGGGAATGAATGTGTAAAGGGGGGGGGGGGGATCACACGCAAAAAGAAGGAAGGAGTACGAGATCTGTTAAAATGTTTTAAGCATTCTTGTAAACCAACTAGCTGCCTCCTTCAAAATGTAATATTGCACAGCCGAAGGCCCTCGTTAAATCTTTAGCTTCGTTGTCCGTGTAGCATTTATGCTTTCTAGCACTGGTGACATAAGCAAGCTCAACAAGCTTGCAAAGACGGTGCGACCGAAAGTCGCTCGGGACGCAAGCGGCATGTTCACGTTTGTAAACAGCAAAAGGGTCCATACACGTTTGCAAGTCCGGCCTCAGGGTGCGGCCACCTTGCTCAGTTGGGGTGCGCCTGTGCGGGTCACAATCCGATTACGACGCCTTGCTAAGGCTTCGTAATCGGATTATGACGCCCACCTCAACTGAGCAAGGAGGCGCACCCTCAGGCTGTACTTGCAAACGCGTTTCAGAGGGTTGTAACACTTCAGAGAATTATATAAAAAATGCGGGGAAGGGATATCCTCCTTGTTCACTGTCATCACACCCCCCCCCCCCTTCTCTCTCTCTGTCTAACATGAATTGGGCGGTACCTAGCGCCACCTAGCCTAGTTACTTGCAATCACTCTGCTTGACCCTGCCATCTGGTGGCGAGCGATTTAACCTTCTTTCACGCTATGCGATGAACAGCGGCTTCGAGCTTGTTGTTCGGAGAGCAGCTTTTGATTTCGCGGATTGGTTTTCCATTCCTCCGTGATGTGCGGTTGACGAAGGAATTGTGACACGAGGAACAGCAAAGGTAAGACGTAAAGGGCGCGAAGTAAGTGGGTATCGGTAGAGCCACTAAATGAGCTGCGCTTAGAGTATCGGCACTCTGTTCCCCGGCATTGTTGTGGGCGCCGCCATTTTGGCTCGTATGCAGAGCAGACGCAACTGCCGATCGTCATGATTCAAAAGTGCAACTTCATCAGCATTAGATTCGGTTGTGGAAAGGTCACGCAATATTGCTTTGCTCTGTCACGAACTATTTAAACATTTGTGGAGAGCGGAAAGGCGTTTCCTGTGATTTCAGATAAAGCTTCAGATAACTGGCAAACATGATTTTACGACACAATATGGCCAAGTGTCGTTACTCTGAAGCGTAGCTTATTTAGTGGCGCTAGGTATCGGTTGTCTCCGTTTAACATCGCAGTGCTGACGACGAGAAGACTGAGTAACTGCTTTCGAAACGTAAGTTTCTGTACCTGCAGGGGGAATCTGGCTTCGGAAATAAACACATATCGCGGAAAGCTCGTGTTATGCTTTTATTTGCTGCTCCTCTCGTCCCGTACAAGAGACGTAGCGTCCTCGTTAAGCCTCACTGAGCTAGATTTGCTCGATTAAGGGCCGCCATAATGAGATGCAGGCGACGGAGGAACTATTTGCTCCCCTGCTTCAGGGACTAAAGTTTCTCCCTTTCTAAAGAAACATAGGTCACAAGACCGTTCATCCATTTAGGGAGGACTATCGATACCCTTTTTTCTAAAAGTGTAGGCTTCAACGCAAAAAAAAATATCTGCGTTTCTACAGTTCTCAGGGTCTGA